GGCAATCTTGAATAATCCCCCAAACAAGGTAACAGTGGTGCAGACGAGCCAAATAGCTGATCCAAAAGTTATGGCCATCAACATTGGAGTTTCCATATCACTAGCAAGGCCCACAGAAAGAAGTAGGAGGGTACTTTCCTGTAATTGCTGAAGCACTGCTGACAAAGAAGCCATGAGGACCCAACCACAAAAGAGCAAGTGTGGATCTCCCTACTAGTAATTACAAACCAGCCCATATTACAGCAGATTTCAGTGCTTATGCGCCACTGTCGGGAGATGGCAGCTGAGTGGACAGAGGTCTAGTTTCTCGACAACTGGGGAAAAAATTGGTTGATGCTAAAGGGCCACTCATCCATCAAAATATGAGGAAGAGATCTAGCACTTATGGGACAGGCTAAATGAAGCTGAGCAAAAACTCGAGAGGGTACGAGTGAACTTCAAAGCATCCCTAGCCAACAACTGAAAGACCACAGCAATATTGGAAGTTCTGTTGGTGGGGTTAAGTTGAAAGGAGTGATGTCCTGTTCATCTTCCTGGGTGAATATATATATATTATATATAATGTAGATTTAAAGGTTTTTACTATGTATAGTATATATGTGTACCTATCTTATTATATTTTCTGACAAATAAACATGGTCTTGTTCTTTCATGCATGTGTGAAGGGGCAAGGATGTTGAAGTTTGTTTTCTTTTGGCGTTTCTATGTATATGTGCAGTTATTTTTATAATGCCTTTCTTTTGATTTCATGTAAAGGTTTTTGTTTTGGTATATTAATTTTGTTTTAAAATTGTGTTGTTTTTCTTTATATCTTATTTTAGTATTTAGTTTTTCTTTTGTAGTAGTTTGTCCCCTCTTCAAGTGGGAAGTATATCTTTGCATTTCTATTACTTTTTTATTATTTTTTATTATCATTATTTAGCTTTAATTTTTGTATGTGTAAAAGTGTACCCACTCATTGCTTGTTTTTAAATGAACTTTAATTTATTGTTGTCAAATGTTTTTATATAGAATTTCATTAGCTGTTTCTTTTCACGGTAGTGGATTCTTTCAGTGTTTAAAGGTATGATTTGGTTATACTTTGTATTTCAAATTAAGTTTTCAAGGGTTATTTTATAGTTATTTCATGCATTTCGTTGTTCAAGGGTTTGTGCCGGCCAGGTAGCATGTAAATGTTAGATATAAAATAAGGTTAAGTACTCCTGGATCATATTGTGAAGTAAGATGTCTCGTGTAAAGTGAAATCTAATTGTTGGCTTGAGGACGGGACTTAGAGAGATGGGGAACAAAAGTGTGATATGTAAGCACATCATATAGTTTCTACATTCTATAGCAATATAAGAACTAAAAAAGTTATTCGTTTTCCATGCTGTCATGGCAGCAATATATGGTCCAGGAAGAGTTAAGTTTATAATATTCCAGTCACTCCCCTTTCTTTATGCTCTAGTAACTAACGGATTGTCTGCCTAGGGGATATTGCAATAGCACAGGTAGGATCCAGTTTTTAGGATTAACATTGTGATATCTTTTTGCAGTAAGGCGATGCTGTATATTAAACAAAGAGAATGAGCTTATATGGAAGTTTGGGTGTGTTTTTTTTCAATTGAAGTGAGTTCTAATAGGCGATCAGAGGGAAAGGACCTGTGTTCTTGAAGACAAGGTTTTTAGTTTTTAGTGGTCGATCATGTTGGAGAGGAAGCCAAAAAAGACTAAAGACCATCCTTGTAGGACTAGTTGTCCGCGTGGGTACACTCACGGCACCTTCTTTTATTTGTTGTTAATTAAAAGTGATTTATTCTTGTATATTTTGTCCAGACTTTTTGTTATTCACACGTAAAACAACTCAGTTTAACTTATCAACTACAGAACATTCCCCTTATTTCTTATACGAATCTGCTGATTTTGTAGAACACAACTTGGTTCATGCTTGTTGGGAAACCAGTTTCGATCCAAAACACTATAGCACTATAAAACTGATGCTGAAACTCCAGAAGTTGGTAGTGGGTGCTGTTGATTAGCTGCCCTCCTTCTAAACTATGGGTTCAAAATTGGGCACGGTTACTGGCAGGTAGCCATTGTGTAGCTTTACACGCCCTCTGGTGGCTCTATGGTAAGATTGAGACTTATAACGCTAAAAGTCAGAGATAGCCCATTGTGTAGCTTTGTTCTTAGATAAATGCACTACGTAAAAAGTATATTACAAAGAAATCCCATATATCCTATTGCTCAAAACATGCAGTTTAATCTTTTTATAAGTTGTTCTTAAAGAATCTAATAAGACAAATTATAAATAAAATACCTAATGAAAAAATATTTGTCGTTTATCACCGTGACAGTATAAGTTTTTAAAAATGTCTTAAGAGAAATTGCTAGTGTGCTAACTCTATAGCTCAGTTGGTTAAGGATGGCGATAAACGGGAGGAGGACCTTGCCCAGGCTGAAGCTACCCCAAAAATATGCCTTTCCTCTCGTGTATCTCCTAAACAAATAGTATTTAGTGTTAAAACTGCTTCAAAAGGTGCAGAACTAGCCCACCTCATCTCTTTCGGCGGACAAAATACTTACCAATTCTATGAAAGGTTTCGTGATTAAATCTGAATCA